TAGGGGCTTTCTGACAATTAGCAATCTATATTATAAAAGAAAACATTTATGCAGGAGCTATTTATAGATAATACATTATTAATCATATTCTCAAAGACCAATTTCTGACACTGACAAGCAAGGGGTATCCACCCAGGGATTGGATGTGAGCTAATTTGTTCACAGCCATTAAAGACACTGGGTTAATACCTAACTTCTAACATACAAGTCTAAAAGTTCTGAAAATGCTTCATGCACACACGTGTGTAGATAAATATAAGCAGATGCATGCATGAAAGATATATTTATGCAAAGGAACGGTACAACTATTACACCAAAGTAAAACATAAAATCATTCATAGACAGACAATCAAAATTAAGCAATTATTACTATTTGAATATTTCACTGCTAGGCAGGTGACACAAAGACAAACAAAGAAAGCTGTCAATATTTCATGTCAGCAGGTAAGGACTGGAATATAAATTGATGGAATTAAAACATCAGAAGCGCAGTAGTGCTGTATGTTGCCTCTTCAGAAACGTTAATGTACCCAGAATTACTGCTCTTCCTGAGAGCAGTTACCTACCTAAGTGAAAATGGATCTGTTTCATTACAGTGTCTTGTGATAAGATATGCTACGTTGCTCTTCCTTAGGTAGGGTTCTTCTGACACAGTCTAAAGCTTGCAAGTATAGAGCAGGGGCATTTTTGGATCACAGAAACTTAGCTTGCAAAACATGAGCCAAAAAATTGCCTCAAGAAACCACTATGAATGTAAATCAAACTTTAGTCTGTACACTGCTGTGTTGCTTATTTAAAACTTTTTTTTAGGAAATTAAATGTGAAAAGCCCTGGAAGCATCCTAACAAAAGGCTGCTCCTGAGCAAGCCTTTACTAAAATTGTATGTAGGTCACTCTGAAAGTAATGCCTCCTATTTATTCCTGTGGAAACTACAACAGACACAAAGAGCACAATTGGATAGAGCAAATCTCAGCTACAAAACACGGCTTTTCAACATAGTCACCACCATTAGCTATGCATTTTTGCCAGTGATGAACAAGAGTCTGCATGCCAAGCTCATAACAATCTGCCCCGGTGGAGGTTCTCACTTATTTCAAAGATAGCCATGTCAAACTTTCCTTTTTTTTTTTTTTTTTTCTTTTTTTTTTAATTCCCCCTCTGTTCTGACCTTTTATATCCCCTTCTCATAGATGAATGACTTGCATTTGCAGTATCATTTCTTCTTTCCTTTCAACTCAAGGCAGCTTCTTGGCCTGCACTGTACTTGTCCTCACAAGCCATAAGTTAGTTTCATTTGTGACACCAGAATCCACCACCTCAGTCCCACAATCTCGTTCACATCTATGTAACTTTTCACAGTGAAGTACTCACACTGATCATATGCATAAATAAGACCTTAAAGTCCTGCAGATAAAAGTGAATGTCTGACCAGAAAACATTTTTCTATCAGAGAACTACCCCAATCATTACCATTTGATATCACAGGAGCCTGCAAACAACAAGACACATGCTTAAAAACAGGTTCCCCTCCCTATTTCTGATAGAAAGTTCAGCGTTCAAAACACAATTTTTCCATTTTAAGCCAAATTTTAATGGGGATTTTTCTGATAAATAACCACAAATGGGGCCAGGCTGCAAGTATTCCTCTAGCTGGGGCAATTCTCAGTTCAGTTATTTCTACTGAAGAAATGGGAAACAAAAATGTTTAACATCTACCTTCTTTCATCAAATCTGGTACAAAATATTTGAGAAGGGATGGGACCCTGACTGACAGCTGGATGTAATAAGAACAACACGTTCACTTTAAATGAAGTGGTAATGTTAAACTTCAGATACTTTCTACTTTTGCTGCTTCAACAGATCCAGCACGTACAAAGTGAATAAACTGCATGCTGTGTTATCTGTCCTTTGGCAGGACCAGGTAGAAGCAGGAGGATGAAGAAGGAAGAGGAGGGAAAATCTTGACAGGAATACATATTAGAGCAATCAATAGAAAGGTAATCCCTGGAAAACCAAGAGTTTTAAAATAAGATGCTTTTTTTTTTTTTGTAGTAATCCTAAAAACCTACAAGAGAATATTCAAGCAGTAAACCCCCCATAACTCATATTTAACCTTTAGTCATGTAGAACTACACATTAAATAGCTTAGCAACTTCATGCTGTGTAAGTGCATTCAAATAACTGCAGATACAGAAAAAAGTAAAGCTACACCTCTTTTAACATGCATTACACAGCCAAGAACATCTGCCAGCTGACCCCTGTAATCCAATCGCCTGTTCAGAAGCAATCACAGCCTTAGATAAGAGCTGCACAACTTCGACATGCAACGCTCATTTTCTTTAAAAGATGTAGTAAAATGCAAGCACCTAACACTTAAACAATTGTCAAACACTTAGGGGCATAAACTCCATGAAATATCATGCAGGAATATGTCATTATCTCAGTGTCTGTATAAATATATTAACTGCACTCAATTACATTTATGCTAAAAAGTTGTGTTCTAAAGAGACCAGAAAAACTGCACTACCATGATTGAACTGAGTCTAGGAGGACAGTCTTCTAGAAGAAGGTTTAAGTGATTCAGTAATTATTTGCATCAGCCAAATAAATTGTTTTGATTTGCGAATTGCCCTCTGCTCCAAAGCAGTCACTTTGCTGAAACACCAGCATTGCCAGAGCCCTTCCACAATGAGAAATGGTAAAAAGAAAACTGCTGGGCTGTTGTTTCCATTATGTTCTCTGCATTTAAATTTATGCCAAATACCTGAAAGGCACTGGGGAGACAAAAAAGACGTACAAGGGGCCGCCAAGAAGCCTAGAAAACAACTTTCACAAGAAGAGAGATAAAAGATTATTTGGCTGACTGAGAAAAAACACAAACTGAGCACGGGTTTTAATCATACAATACTGGAAAACGGAGGGTTCTACAAAGTAGAAGATTAAGCAATAACAAGACCCAAGCTCAGGAGCAATAATTTTAAAGAGATAACTAAAAATAGTGGAGGAGATAATAAGGGAAATCTGCTGGCACCTACAGGAGTTTATTCTTGGTTTTCAGTTGTCTAAGGTCTTCATCAAAGCATAGAACACAATACTACATTGTCACCAGGAAAAGATAAGGAAAATCCTTGCACCAATGTGACCTAGCTTTCTCATGCCTGATATCAAAGAACTGTACTGTACTGCAGGTATTTAAACCAGATTATATGATTATGCAAAAAATAATTAGGAAGTCATATATTAACATACACAGAATTCTGCAGGGTTTCTCTCTAGGCTTTAAACACTGTTCACATCAGAGGAAAAAGAAGGCAATCCTCCCTACACTGGATTAAAGACATGTGTTCAGCTTAGCTAAACATGAGTGCAGCCAGCTAATTCAGTTTGCCATCTGGGCAAGGAATGTCTTCGTGCTGCAATATGCCTAAGGAGTTCAGCACTTCTAAATCACTGCTGGGTGCAGAGCGAGGCTCTGTTACTGCTCAAAGAAGTAGGAAGCACAGGTGAAACCAATGAAGAGAAACACACACACCTGTATATGTGTACGTACCTGTATGTACATATACATACATATACATGAAGTCTTATATTCCTGGGAAAGAGGCAAAAAAGCACCAACTACCTTTATATTACCACCAGCTGTAATGCTTTGCAAGCACCATGCTGCAATAAACCTCACAAAGACATAAATTCCCAATTTAGGCAATTTCTTTCCTTCAATATCTTCCAAAAGGGTTTTGAAATTAGTACATTTAATGTGCGTGGGGATAGGCAACACTTTATAGCAAGGTTACTTTTCATCAGAAGTAGTCTGCTGTGACTATGGGTAACAATCCTGGTACCTTTACATTACAAAGGAGCTTATTGTTACCAAACAACTTATTGTGGGAATTCATTTTGCCTCTTTGGTGACCTCTCTGATCTATTAAGAAAAGCACTGAGGTATGAACAACACGCACTTTGTTGCATTTTTATGTTTTCTTCTTGTTAGGATACTGCCTATGAATTCCAAACAGTGATATGCAGAAGAAGCAGCACTTAACGAGTTTCTCACACCAGTAAAAATAAACTGTGAGGAAAACGACATGAGTTGAGAATCAGGTGGTAGAAGTGGTGCTGCTCCCCAGGACAAAGCTGTGGCAGTGACTGCACGGTTAACAACATGATCCAGCAGCTCTAGCACCTGCAAGCTGCTGCACAAATACATCTTCGCTGTTAAAAGTCCTTCTACACATATTATGCAATACATTTTTTGTATATATATTTCTACACACTCGGCAAATTATACATATATATATATATCAAGCCCCTTTGGTATGACAGTTTCCATCCTATTAATTAATTTTCATAGTTGAATTTGAAAGCAGTAAAGAACAGGCTTAACTATATAGTGCTTCATCAGTGTTAATTACCATCACAAAATAATCAGTAAATGTAGGAAACCTCTATTGGCTTTGTAGATATACATATAGCATTAAAAAGCATTTAAATAGAAGCTGATTTTTCTTAAGAGTAGCAATTTAAAGACTATTTTCCTCTAATGGGACACTTCAATATTGAGTATACAGAGATTAATGTTGAAGGGAACTTGTGTTGAAGGGAAAAGTTGCTAAAAATAGCAGAGTATATTTAACAAACACATGTTTCTGCAGCTACCATCGTCTCAGAGACAATTAAAGATTTTTAAAACATCCATGACATCTGAGCTTTCTGATAGTTACACACCATCCAGGTGAGATTATTTGTTCAGAGCTTCCTGTGCTCTGGGAGATAAAAATTGTTTTTACATAAGAAATACAGTGTTTCAGGTCACGTTCTGCTGTAACGTGAGTATCTTCCCCTCAATCCTCAAGAAGTTCTAGGATTGCCCATGAAACTCAAAGCCAGAGCCACAAGATTACTCTTGTTTGTAATTGCAATGCCGGCTTGCTACCTAATGATCCCAGTTGAAACTGCAACAAGCACAGTGAGATTTCTGTTGGTGATTTAACATACTCACCTGATTCTTGAGATCCAGCTTCGGGCAGGGGCGACCTCCATTGTAGGGCTTCTCCTTCAGCCATTTGGATCTGACTTTCATCCCTGTCCCACAGGAAGAGCTGCAGGGGCTCCAGCTGGACCAATCACTTAATTTGCAATCAAATGGGCAAGGAACCGTGCAAGATTCTTCAATGTAACCTATACCAAAGATTGAAGACAGAGGTTTTATAATCACTCCAACTCATGAACTCCGATCCTTTAATGTCTCTCTGCAATCTGTATAAACAACTTCATAGGAGGACTTCTTAAAGAGAAGAAGTTTAGCTGTCTGACAACACTTTCCCAATGCAAAATTATGATGTTATTTGCAAAGAACAGCAGTGACTAAAACCAATTTCCTGGTTTAGCCCAATTTTTACTAGGATGGCTATGATAAAACTGGCTGATATAAAGAATGCACATTGACAAGAAATATCCTATGTGAAGCAGGCAGTTGACAACAGGCAGCAACTATCCACACTGTAAGAATCTGGACATCACATACTCTGGAGATCTAAGTGTACTACTAAGTGTACTTCTGAATTTTGTGATCCTCTGAAGCACAAGTTCTGCATCTGGGTGGGATGTCTTCCTGAGAGAAGCAAAGAAAACATACGACCCCATCTTTCTTCTGGTAGTTCTCATACATCTCTGCAACTGCTTTGACCACTCTGTATTTTATAAGAGACATACAAAAACTTTGCTTTCACCTTCTCCCACTTTGAAGTGTTTCCAGGATCACCTCTTCAAATCAGAATTCCGGATAGCTGCAGGTGCAGCACCTTATTGAATCAAAACCCAATAGGGTTTCTCAGGACAAAGCCAGGCTTTCTCTTCACATATCCAGCCCCACAGTCACTCAAGGGAAGAGAGATTTTGTAAAGCACACTCAAAGGGTGCCTGAGCCCGTGGGGTCTTCACAAATGCCTGCCCATAGCCCTTGGCCAACATGTGGACAAGCTTCTGCACATCCCTGCTCACTGTGCTATGTTCATTCTCATGTTTCCATTACCTGGTTGACATGATTCTAAGCACTACTAGATTTAAACAAAAGAGAGATTTCATGTTCAGCCACAAAAGTTGATGGCTGCTAGGACCAGCCCTTATTACAGAAGGCTTAAGTCCTCTGACAGCTCTGGCAATTAAGGCAATGAAAAGAAAAGAATTTCATCCCTATCGTATTTCTGATGTTACTCATTTTTATGTCCTTTCTGTTTGGTTTTCAGCCTCTAACCCTCCCTGTGTAAGCCATATCTACAGAATACTAAATTAGCTGATTTAATTATGCTCTTAAGAAGGATTTCTCCACTCTCTATCAAGGTGACAGTCACCACAGCAGGATAAAGCACAAAAATACGTAATAAATAAAAAAGGAGAATCAGCTTCTCTCCAAAACCTCTGGACAAGCGCCCCGAACAGCCAGGAAACACCAAAGCTGAGGCAGGGAGATTAGTCATGCCCAGCAGCCAGATTTACCGGCTCTGCTGCATCCAAACCTGTACTGACTCCAAGCCATGACTGTGCTGCATCCTGAGCATCGATCCACAACAGCAGCACGAGGATGCACTCCTCGTTTCACTGTGCAGAAACAGCTTTCAGACTTGGTTAGGCATCCCCCACCTATAAAATCTCCTCGATCTAGCAGCACAAGAAATACTGACACTGTTTTAGGAAACAGTGCCTTAAAAATTCAACAGCAGTCCCCTCCTTCAGCTCTATGATGCTCTGCTTCTTCTTTGGCTTCGTGTGGCACTCTCCTCCCTCTCTTTCAGAACGGCCACCCCAGCAGTCTGACAGCTGCAATCATTTCCACCAGCAGTTCCTGCTGTAACTCCTTCCTAAAGCTGCCCAGTTGTCCTCGTGCAGCATGGGATGTTTCACTTTGCTCCTGCTTATCTCTGTGTGCTGCATTCCCTTTTCAGCTACAGTTTCAGAGTCACTGGCATTACATATCTTGATTATTTCCTACCCAATCCATGGCAGTGATGATCACGTTCGGGATATTTCAACTTTGCATGCTTTGTGTTCTCATCTAGCTCAGATTACACCCATGCACACACACACATAAAATATTTCTACAACAAACTCACTTTCTATCCAAAATATCCAAGCTATCCCCAGCTTTCTCAGTAATATTCTACTCAACCTGCTTAGGTTGTCACTCAAAGCTGTTCATAACACATTATGATAACTAAAAGAAATTTCCTCATGATAGATTTATGAGCAGCATTTCTTAGGCAGTTCTTCAAAAGAGTTCTGTACCACCATCACATGAAATATCACTTCTCCTTGGGCTGTGTGACAGCCTGGGTAATTAACTCTTAACAGAAACAAAGAAAGTGCCTTGCTTACAAGGAGAGTTAGGCAGAGGGGTTATCAGCTTATCAGCAAAGGCAAAATGGGATAAGCCTTCTGATAGTTCAAGACTTACCTCTACAATAAAAAGAAATAAAATAAAAAATAGGAAAGTAAGACAGAGAAAGAAAAAGTTTTATAAACAAAACAAATGAAATCTGTTCCACTTCATTGCAGTGGGGATCCCTCACCAAAACGAAGGTTTTCTAAAGACTTCCTGATGCTAAGAGACCAACCTACTGCATTTCGAGTTTCCTCATCCACATATATAAATTAAATTAAGTATGAATAAAAACTAGCAAGCTAATAGAGCAGTAAATTAACTTAATGTCCACAAGAAACAGATGTTCCATATTAAATAATGGTTAAAAAAAAAACCAACAGAATATAACCTTTTTTCAACACCTTCTCACAAACTGTCGTTATATCTTCCATTAACTGCTTGAGGTTTATCCTGTGCTGAGATTCCCATCATCAAAGGTTTCATTCACCAACAAATTTTTTTGCGAAAACATCTGTGTGATGAGTGCCCTCTACACAGATATATCATCGATTATTGACACCCTGTTACGAGAAACTAGTAAGTACTGCTGTACTCAGCTCATTCCCAGCCCTTCCAGTGCCCATGAGAATGGGACATTTGGTTTTCTCTGTAGAGTATTGCAATGGCCTGGCAGTGTCAGGAGCTGAGAAGAGTTTGGTTTGGAAACAGAAAGTAAACCTTGACATGGCATTCCCAGCAAGCTTTCACTGTTGGCATGGTGCATAACAAATGAGATACACCATTAATACCAGCTGTTAATAGCAAATTCCACATGCAGGCTATTACCAGTGGAAGGAACAATAAAACACAATTACAGATCAAAATAAAAAAATATTTCTGACAGTAAAGGAATATGAAAAGGGAAGAACATAAATGGGTTTCTGAGTTACTGTCACTCAGCTTAGGGAGATTAACTCAACCCAAGCTCAAGATCAACAATGTTTTGTCAATGTCATCCTTTAACACCTCACTCATCCACTGCATTCCCCGTTCTCCTCTTCTGCAGTACCTGTACTAACACTTGTTGAGTTTCCAAGACCTTCTGCAGGAAAAGACACTGTCCTTTCCCAGGCCCTGCCCAGCCTGTTTCTCACATTCTCTATTCTCTTGAAGCTTCCTTTAATCTTTTTTATTCCTCTAAATCTCAAACACCACTGAACTGAAGCCCCGTTACTTTAGAAACAGCAGTTGAGAAGCTCTGCAGAGTCTGAACCAACACCAGGCTGCTGTGTGTCACCAAGCTGGGACTGCAGGCGCAGGTGAGATTGAGACGCAAACACCAAGGCATGGGATATTTATGTAAGCAGTTGGAAACACACTACTGGGAATAGTCCCGAATTGGCAGAAAAAATTGTACTGGACGATCAAATAAGCCTTTTACATGTTTAAGTGCTATTGTTTTACTACTGAGACACTGCCAACGTAATAGGATGAACAAATGCATTTACCTAGGCTGCCAAACTCATTTTACTATTATTTATTCATTAAGAACAATGTTGCTCTACAAGCCACAAATGGAGTCTCATCCCATCCATAATAAACAAAGTGCCCACAGAATACACAGGATGTATTGGGAAGGCACAAGATGGAACAACAGCTATTATTCTTGTCTCACTTTTTTTCTGCGCAACCCAAAAGAGATGAAGCAAGAGAAGGCAGACGAATAAAGCAAAGATGATGGTTTGGTGGGTGTTGGAGGCCAAGGCTCAAACGCTTGGTGTAAAAACTGTTATTCTTGTCTCATTCTTTTTTGCTGTGCAACCCAGAAGAGCTGAGGAGGTGGATGAATGATGGTCTGGAGATGTCACACGGTTCAGGTGGAGGTGGTAGGAGACACAAAGTGATTGCACTGCAGAACTGAGCGGTGAGTTTTTGCAGTAGTACGATTTCATTCCCTACATGAATAACACAGGTCACACTTGGCACAGCCAACAAGGGGCTGCAGTACCCTTCTGTGTCTCTGTCCACATTCACAATCAGACGCTGGCGGGGGGAAGCAGGCAATTAGGAGATTTACAAGCTAATGGGAGACACTGACATCCACCTGACTGTTGTACTTCCAAATGATAAATTTGCTGAGGGTGTAAGGTCTGTGCACAGCGTTAAACAAATGTGCCAAAAGGACTCCAAGAGTCTGACTGAAAAGTGTTTTGAAAATAAACAGCATTCCTCCAGCAGCTTTGGAAACAGATGCACTTCTAATTGAATTGGCTTTAAACTCATTTGTATCCTCTCTAGCATATTTCATCATTTCAATTAACAAACTTCTAGCAGTACTACCCTTGTTAGTAAACCTTGAGGTACTTCATAAAATTCAAGGTCATTACCAAGAAAGGGACAATTCTGTGCATCACTGCTACTGCCACTGGTAATAACACAAGTGATTTCCCTTGGAGCCTCCAGGATAAAAGAGATCACCCTTCAGCACACAAGGGAGAAGCAAAATGGACAGCGACACTGAAGAAATGTTTCTAATTACACACCAAAGGTAGAAGGGAAAAAGAGTTGATTCATTTTCCTATTAATATTTACCTTCATTTGGTAACTGGCTGTGAAGTATGTAGAGTAACACCAGTAAATCCATGCAGCACTGAAAGTCTAATAGCTAAGGACTTCATTAGTGAGACCTGGTGGACCATAGCACCCATGAGCCACATTCTGCTGTGCTGGTGCTCTGGGATCTCCTACAAAGCAACCTTGTGCTTTAAGTCAGGTGAAAACAGCTTTGAGAACAGACTGCAGTTAAGAGAATGGCTCTGCC